AACACTTCTGTCAGTGGCTAAGCATGATGCAAACTCGAAATGTTTTCATTAGTTGTCACCAAAAAATCGACAGTGGGTCACTTGACAGGATGACGGTGGAAGAGTGTGAGTGCAAAAGCAGTACAGGAGAAGACTCCTGAGGACAGTTGTTTCCTTTGATGTTTTTGGAGGAAAGAGGTGTCTATTTTTCAGTACTTCTAAATACACTGGAAAGTGATTTATTTTAAACCCAGTGTTGTAGTTCCGAGGTATACGTAGTTCTTCTGTGGGGCCGAATCATGCTGGGTTTAGCAGGGAGGTTAGCAAGCCCAGCTTTGTCCTGGTGCAGAGACACGGCTCCCTCAGTGCTGCCGGGCACCTCACAGGAGTTACTGTACAGTTACTGTTTACAGATTTTTTAGTCAGACTTAGAGAAAGAAAGTGCGTTGTGAAATTGCTAGGGATGTAATTATTTCTGCTGGGAAAACATAAATGCCATGAGAGGTGTGAACATACTGTTTAAAATGACAGGAAGTTTTTGCATGGGGCTTAACAAAACAACAGACTTGTACAGCTTTTCAGCTATGGCTCTAGAAAGCAAAATGTTAAAAATGGCATTGGGATTGACTTTAACATTCTCCTTTATGTGCAAGGTTTTAACATTTTGGACTGTTCCTACTGTGAAGTTCCAGCTTACTCAGCATTTTCTTCTAACTTGACAGAAGTGTTGCTCTAAATCTGTGATTTCAGTTGTGCTAGTTGTGGAAGAAAGTTTTTTCCAGTTCGTAAAACTTGGGTTTATTGCCTCACTGCTGCATGAAGTATAGCCTTGTCACGTGACATCGTTGTAGCGGTAACAGATGAACCCCATATCTGTTTTGCTAGTTTGTACCCTCAGATTTCACATTCTAGTTTATTTCTGGGATGTTTTGTCCTACATGTCAGAAGCAGTTTTACAGTTTTACTCAGTTGTGTTATTTAATTATATTACTGTAAAATACAAAAAGTTAAAATTAGCCTGAGCAGATACATCACTGTTAGATTTTCTTGCGCATAGAATTTTTTTCTGAGAACTGAAAACTTAAAAGTGGATTCCAGACAATCTTATAACAGACAGAATTTCTCTGTTTTAGAGATTTTTTTATGTTCAAGAGTTTTTAAGTATTGGTGTGCCTAACATGAAGCATGGCCCCAATAGTTAATAAGTGTCCTTCAAGTGTATTTTAAATAGGAAGACTAAATTTTACACTCATTGATTTTGGACTTCTGGTGCATTACTGATACTTTCAAACATTTTCTAATGATTTATTTAAGTAATTTTTAAATTTCTCAAATGTCCATTCAGTTTAGCAGCTCTTTTTCTAAATGGGATTATAGCAGTGCACCAGAGCTAAAACGATTAACATTCCTAAGCCTGTAACTTTTTACATGACACAGCACTGTGTCTCAGCAGAATCTGGTCACGTTTCTTTTAAAAGTAGGCTTCCGAGGCAGGGCGCATCCACTCTGAATTTTAATTCTAATCAAACTATCACAGTAGTTAAGCTCATTTCTCGAGGCAGAGGCAGAGTTCAGTAACCTTGTTTCTGGTATCAGCTCTCTGCCCTGTGGACTCCCTCCTGCCCTCATTTCATTTTGTCTGAATGGACAAATGAGGATGCGTGTTATCTTTTGAAAGACAATCACTCAACTTCTTCCAGTTCTTTTTCTTTCATTCACTTTTTTCTCTGTACTTAATTTTTCAGCTCCTAGATCAACAAATTCTCATTTCTTTTCTCTGCAGCAAAATACATGTATTTAATAGTTACAAACTGACAAATGTCATTTCCTTCATATATTAACCTATTTACAACAGGATGATGAATCAAAGTGGTTAAATGAGTTGATTCTATTACATTTCTGGAATTGTACTACTTTTTATAACATTTAAAATAAGAATGACAGCAAGTTTTAACTCAAAAGTATCAATAATCGGAAAATATATTCACTTCGGAAATGAACGTGTGTGTATATGTGTGAGGCAAGTGTGTTTTTATCAAGTTGATCTCGGAAAGAGAGGGCAGCATTATCTTCCAGCCTGTGATCTGAGTTTTGACCTCAATCCTGCAGTGTCCCCAGTGGGACCTTCCATTTCTATGGGACATGGTATGCAAACTGCCAGTTATGAGACAGTCCTCCTAATTAAAAATCATTAGAATTAGAACTTGCTGGTACATTGTCTTCCTGTGTATAATTTTCTCATCTTTCTGTGTTTTTGTTAAATGGAAAAGTTTAAAACTGCAGGTGCCTTCTCCTTATTAATGTTGAACTTCAGACCACTTCCACCATCAGGACATGGGGGTCCTCACCTAGAAATAAACATAAAAGTCCCAGAAGTACCTATTTAGGAAAATAGCTTTGCAGAGGAAAAGATAGTAATCTTACATTCAACTCATGTAAAAATGTGATCTACATTTTGCAAAGAGTTTATTAACAGTTACATGAAGTTATTTAAGTAAAGGCTTCTGCCTTCATCT